GCTCTAAATAGAACAGAGCGGCTGGGCTGGGGGAATGAAAATAAACAGCCCCTCTGAACAGCCCCTTCCTAGCAGTTACCGGATTTTCCTTCTGGTTCCTCAGCCCAGGGCTCTTTCCCTCCTCTCTCCTCCCCTGCTCTCTGTCCAGTCCTACGGAGAAGGAGGGCCAGCTCTATCTCAGGGTGGTGGGGGAGTGAGGGGTCCTCGTCTAGGCTGTGTGGCATTGGGGAACTCGCCTCCCCTCTCTGGGCTTCAGTGAGGAGAGCTCGTTGAATGGGAGGACAGGGATCAGCTCCAAGGTGGCTGGAACTTTTTCTCCTTCAGGAAAGGGTTCTTATCCCAATGGCTCCCATGTGGCAGAAATTTAGAAACACTCGCTCCCTTTCAAAACATGACCCCAAATTTAAGGGTCAATTTATGGCGAGGTTCGAATTACACTGGTTTGCCTGTGTCTTTGGGGGAAATTCTCAGACTCACCACGAGCAGGGATTGCCTCTCCCTGCAACCTGGACACAGAGGGGCGATCTGTGTGGGCGTCAGGAAAGGTCTTCCTTGGGGATCAGGAGTGGCTGGGTCCTTGTATGGCTTCTGAATGATTCAGGCCAAATAACCCATCCTGGGTCCTGGTCCCCCTGGGAGGCTGAATTATAGCAGTTCCCTTTGGGGCTCGGCACCTCTGGTCTCTTGGGTGTGCTGAGGACTCAACCAGAAAGCGAAGAGGGCTGTTGTCTGCCTGGTGCGGGGGTTCCTCCAGGAAGACCTCCAGGAAGGGGCTGATGAATCCTGGAGCTGGGCTGGCTCCTCCAGTGGGTAGTCAAGAAAGGTCAGGGAAGGGGGCGACGTAGGCTTCTTCTGGGGCCCCCACTTCAGAGAAGCGGGGGTCCCAGAGCCCAAGTCATCGGGGGGCTACAGCTGAGACCTTGCACCCTCCTACCTCTTTCCTCTCTCCTTTCTCTTCGCTCCCTCCCCCTCCCCCTCCTCTCCCGCACAAAAGCTCTCTGTACACAGCCACTTCCTCTGGCTGCTGTCTCTGAGCCCAGACCTTATGAGAACCATATGGGGGAAAGAGGGTGGAAGGGAAGGGGGTGGGGAAGCCGCATGGGCCCGCCCCTCCAGTCAGCGTCTCTCCCCTCCCCTCAGGCTCTGTGCAAACAGTTGGCACACTTTGCCCCAAAGTCCCCCGTCCCAAACTGGATCCTGGTGGCTGGAGTGAGGGGTCCTGAGGGGAGGGCCCTGTCTGGAGCTGGAGGTCCAGAGGGAGATCTGTGCTCAAGAACTGCTTCCCTGAGGCTGGGACCAGCACAGGGGCCGTGAAGGGGGCTCCCCTCCCCCCCATGAAGACCACCAAACTCACAGCAAAAGGTCCCAGCCACTGCCAGGCACATCTGTCGGGCAAATACCCTTTCTCCCCTACGAGGTTGGCCTAAGTGATGGGCAGTCCCCCGAAAGGGGAGGCCGAGTGGATGAGGGCTTGTCGGCTCTGGGAGAATCTGGAGTGAGTGACCCGTCCCATGCCCGCTCCCCCTCCCCACCCAGCCTTGGAATGTTCCCAGGTCAAAGGGCCTGGGTCCTGCTGGGAAGGAACTGGGTTTTTTAAAGCAGCCTTTGAGTCCATTGGGTCCCAAGTCCAGCCAGGTGAACAGGGAGTCTCTTACCTGAGAGAAAAAGTAAGCAAATCCAAGCAGCTAATCCTGATGCTGGTGACAGCTAAGCCCTGTGACCGCTGGCAAGACCTGGCCCCCTCCGCATCTGGCCTCAGTGTGCTCAGCTGTCAGATGCAGCAGTAGGGGCTGGACCTGCTGATCCCTAAGGCCCTTTCCAGCCCAGGGGCCTAGGAATTTATGACACTGCTTGGTATCCTCCGAGAGGCTGCTCAGAGGTCCTGGGAGGTCCTCACCGCAGATTTCCTTCTAGAGTTATCCATTATCAGTCCTTTCCTGGAATTCCTTATTATCCCTCCTCCCCCTCACTCTAACTCCCAGAGCCCAGAACCAGAGGGCTGCCCAGGGGCGGGCGTGGGGGGTCACAGTAGTCTGCGTCTTCCTCCCCCACCCAGGTTCGCCTTGTGATAAGCCATCCCCCGCGAGACCTTTCCCCTCCGGGGAGACCCTTCAAGCCTCCTGCTCTGGACGGCAGGGAACATTCGTGCCCACAGCTGCCCCGTGGACTGGGCCATAAGCCTGGGGGGGTGCGGAGGGACAGATGGATCGGGAAGGAAGCCAAGAGTTCTGCTTTCCTGGAAAAGTGCGAATGAAAATCCATTAGAGAGGGGGAAAAAGCCAAGGATGGGGAGAGGGGGCCTGCAGTCTACAAAAACAGAAGGCAGAAGTTGAGATAACAGGGTGGGGGTAGAAGGGGCTGCAGTGAGATGAACAGGATGGTTCACAGGATTGCCCTTGAACGGCCTGGCAGCTGAGCAGAGACGGCAGGCTGCTTGCAGACAGGCGCCTTATCTAACACTTTCTCCGCCTGAACAGTCGGCCAAGGTGGGGGCCCGAGTCCCCCCGGAGGACCCATGCGGCCAGGGTGCTGTGTGAAGGGGACTGGGAGCTGGTGGCCCTTTCTGAAGGAAAACAGGAGAGGCAGAGGGAAGGCAAAGTCAAAATGCAGACTATTGGCTCAAGTCCTGTTGTTTGCACCAGGTGATGGGCAAAGAGGTGAAAGGGGAAATGTGTGTGGAAAAAAAAGAATTTTAAAAGAGTAAGGAGGAGGAGTCTGGGAGGTGGGAAGGTTCTGGTGCTTGCAGCCTCTCTTGGCTGCCAGGCTGGAGCAGTGGAATCCCCTTCCCAGCCCTCCTCTTCCTCTTCCCTCAAGATGCACGCTGGGTAGGGATGGGTGTGCTGGAGGCACTGAGCCCCCAGCAGAGAATCCTTGCCCACCTTCTGCTGAAGAAGAACGTGGGCTCTTTTCCCTTCAGAAGCCAGCTTGGGGGAAGGGTTGCAATCAGGATGGGATTATGTGGAGCCTGTGGGGAGAGACTAAGTGATGTGTCCGTGGCTGGTGTTAGTCGCCCCCGGGACTGATGGGCCAGTGGGCTCTCACGGCCCGCTCCAGCTTGCCCTGTCTGTTGTCCTTGGGGATGTCCGGCTAGGTGCAGGGGGGCTGTTCCTTTGGAAGGTACCATAAGCCAGGTAGGTCAGTGGCCTGGGAAAACAGGGCAGGAGGAGGCCTTCTGGGGATGGTCTGGGATGGCAAGGTGAGCTAGCTGAGCTGTTGGCTGCCACCCTGTCCCAGCATATTCTCACCAAGTGTTGGCCCTGCTTTCTGCTCAGAGTGGGTCGATGGGAATTAGCTATGGCTGGAAAACATTAGCTGCCAAATCATTCTAAGATGTACTGCAAAACCACCTTTTTTAAGGTTCCCCCCTTCTTTCTGCCTTCAGTATGTTAGTATTCCCTAATCCCAGCACATGTGTGTGAGCCTAGCCACAAGATCCAGTACGCACCACCCCCACCCCACCCCAGAACCCAACTATCACTGCCTAGCGGGGACTCACACAGACACCTGCCCAGCCATTCCACACAGCAAGCATTTTTCTCCTCCAGAACTGAGTGGGCTGGGGAATGCCCAGGCCTGTCTGGACACTTCAACACCAGTGGACCCTCCGAGGGACCTGAATTGGCTGCCACAGCTGCCTTCCCAGGCCATGACCATATGCCTGAGCTGCTGGGACGTGGGAGAGAGCAGACACCCGGCTTCCACCTCCCCAAATGCACACATACACACACCCACCCCAGCTGGGAAAATGCAGGCCAGGCGGTCAACGTCAGAGGCTGACCAGTTGTGTCCTGTCAGGAAGCAGGCAGCCTCTGAACTCACCCAACCAGAGGCGTTACTGTATTGTTCTGGACACAATCGGACAGACTGTGAGCCAGATCCAACTCCGGGCAAGGGGCGGTAGGGAAACGGTTGCCACTGGGGTCAGGAGGACAGGGAAGGGGAAGCGGCTTGGAGTTTGGATCCATGACAGGAAAGGAAGGGGTCGCCGCTAGGGCCGGACCCTCCACTCCACGGCACGCGTGGGGCTCCGAGCACGTGGTCTGCGCAGGAAATCCTTGCGGTGGGGAGGGGTCGCTAACTGCGGTTGCGGAGACTTCGGACCCCCCATTGGGGCGGCTTGCGGTGGGGTTGCGGCGCAAAGAGCCGCGCTGGTTGCCAGCAAAGTGAGGGCTTCATAAGGCCCTGGCTGAGAAGGGAAACGGGATGACGGAAGGACGGTTCCTTCCCCTCAGCCAGCTTGCTTTCTTCGCAATCTTTGCGCAAAGAAGTCAATCGTGAGACAGCCAAACTCATGTTATATCCGGGGAGGGAAAGAAGTGGGAGGGATGCAGGGCCCAGAGCAGAGCTCACTTCACAAATGCCCGCGGCGGGACAGGGGCCCAAGAGGAATCAGGACGCCAGAGTCTCATTTAGACCAGAAGCGCCTGCACCCCAAGGACAGAGCGTTTCGAGCCCACCCTCCCGCCTGTCCTATATAGGCTAGCAGGCTCCGGGGTCGGCTGGAGCGTCCCCCACCTGGCGGAGCCAGGCCCGCGGGGCGAACCCAGGAGACTCCTCCAGTGCGGCCAGGGACGCGCCCGCGGTGGTAACGACCACAGCCACCTACTCGGCCGCGGGCGTTCATCTTTCCTGAGCCTTCCCCCATGCCACCCACATCAGGTCCCCGAAGTCCGCAACATCAGCCCAAGTTGGAAACTCAAGGGGAGTGGGCGTCCCGCCAGCGCGCAGTCCCCTTCACCTGTGCAGGTGAGTGGGCGCTCGCGGTGCCTCTCTTTGGGGCGCACCCGGCCCCCTAAGCTCCTTCCTCCCTCTACACCCTTGGAGCTTTACTCTTTCCCCTACTTCTCCAAGCCTCCCTTCTCAGCTTCTGGACTCAGGCCTGTCCTAGAGTCTCGGAAGTGGCGGCATCGTCTCTGACCCTCTTTTCCCACCCCTCCCATCTGGTCTCCATTCGCCCCCTCGTCGGGGATCGGGCCGGGCCGGCGGAGCAGGGTACTCACAGGGTAACGGTGCTGTTAGGCAGAAGGCCGGGCTCGGGAGGCTCCGGGAGGTCTCCGCCGCCGCACACCACCCTCCTGCGCGCCGGGTTGGGGGCGCCGCCACTTAGCCCCTTGGGCCGCTCCCCTGAGCACTTGCAGCTGCGGATGGGGACAGGGCAGCCGGGC